CTCCATTTGGTACTGAACAAGAAAGGGAATTAGTGAAAGCGCAATTAAAGCCGATCATTGAAGCAAATATCGCTATTGATCCTGCATCACATTGTACACTACCTAATTCACATATCAGTATTCCTACACGTCCAGATTATAAGTATGGTTATAGACGTCAATTCCCTATTGATGAGGCTTATAAGAGTGTGGTAGATGAACAAATTAAAACTTGGTTGACTAATAGAGTCATAGAACCTAGTCCTCCCAATACGGCATATAATTCACCGATCTTCATTATTAAGCGTAAGAATCCCATTACAGGGGAGTACGATGGTAAAAAGACTCGTGCTATCTTAGATATTCGTATGATTAATGCTGCGTTAATCAAATCTAAGTTGGATCGATTTCAATTACCTCGTATAAGTGATATGCATTTAGAGATGGGAAACTCACAAATATTTACAATTATTGATCTATCAAATTGCTTCCACAGTTTTAAGATCAAGAAAGGTATTCATAGGCAAGTAACTAGTTTCACATACAATGGTCAGCAGTATATGTTCCGAAAAGCTCCATTTGGCCTTACTCATGTATCATCATTTGTAAGTAGATGTTTAACTACTTTATTTGCGGATTTAAAATACGTTTGTACATTCGTGGATGATATAACAATTCATACCAAGGCAGATATCCATTATCATGCAGAATGTGTCAGTGAGGTGTTACAAAGACTCACTAAGGCAAACTTAAAAATCAACCCTGATAAACTCCAATTATGTCAAACGAAGATCTATATTCTGGGATTTGTATTATCTGCTAATTATGGTTTAGTTGTGGATCACAGGAAAGTGAGTAATGTCTTGGATTGGCCACCAATTACTTCCGGTAAACAGTTGGCATCATTCCTCGGATTGACAAACTACTTTCGATCGCATATTCCTAATTACAGTTTCCTATCCGCATGTCTTGATAAGTTGAAGAATAAACCTAATTTGAAAGAACTTTGGTCTAAAGAGCATGATGATGCTGTGAAAAAGTTAAAATTAGCGTTAGTATCTTCGGCAGTGTTAAGTGTTCCAGATCCTGATTACCCTTTCTGTGTTGTAACTGATAGTTCAGCATATGGTTACGGTGCGGCACTTTACCAAGTCATTAATAAAGAGGTCAAGTACATCGGGTTCATTGCTAGAACCATTAGCGATGTAGAAAGACGTTGGGGAAGTTTTCGCAGAGAATTAGCTGCAGTCGTATTCGCCTTTACCAAATTCAAACAATGGTTGAGAGGTAGAAAGTTCCACTTATTTGTTGATAATAAGAGTATTCTATATATTCATTCGAAAGAGAAGGTTAATTTAGCAGTTGAGAACTGGTATGAGTCAATTTACGAAATGGACTTTGATATTACCTTTTGTGCTGGTATCAAAAATATTTTAGCAGATAAGCTTTCAAGATTATTTATTCCTCATGATGATGAGAAAAATAATAGTAAAGTAATCTTTAAAAAATTTAAACATGCCAAAACAAGCGATGAGAAGAAAAAGAATACACAGAAAGGATTAGCACCCTTGTCTGAGCTGAAACATATCACTGAGAATGAGGGAGAACCGTCACTTAATTTATCTGATATTGTACCACATATAGAACAAAACGATACAGATCTGGTTTTACAGGCTATTACTAGAAGCGCTAGTAAGAATAGAGCCGATAATGACTTGAGTAGTATTCCAGTAGTAAACCGCAAAGAGAATAAGGTTACTAAAGCGAAGCTTCAACGAGTAGTTGACACTATCCAGGAACAGAATAACGTCAATGAAGGGTTACTCAAGAAATTCACACAAAAGGAAATTTTGGCTAGTGATTTCATTATTCCAGAATCTTCTGAGGAAAGAGAAGATATTTTAATTAAGACCCACTTATTAGGGCATTATGGCGTGACAGCAATGGAAAAGTCCATTCATAATGATAACATGAATTGGCCAGGTCTAAGAAAAGATATCTTAAGAACTGTAGCATCGTGTAAAAGATGTAGGTTATTTAATAGAGGTCAAACAGTATACCACCCACCTACGAGTATCTTGCCCGATGGCGTGATGGATCATGTAGTCATGGATCTAGGAACGCTCAACATAACTTCACCTAGAGGAAATAATTTTATCCTTGTGATGGTAGATTTATTCTCTCGATTTACCATGTTAAGTGCTATACCTGATAAGCGTGCAACTACCATTGCGAAGCAACTTGTTCAGAACTTTTCTATTCTTGGATATAGTAAAATCATCAGCCATGATAGAGGCCTTGAATTTCACAATTCCTTAATTGACAGTTTAGTTAAACAATGGGGTATTGACCACAGGTTGTCTTCACCCTATAACCCATTAGGCAACGCGGCTAATGAGTCATTTGTTGGTATCACAAAACGCACACTTGTTAAAGTATTGGAAGGAAAGGAAGAAGACTGGGATCTTTTCCTACCTTCAGTGCAGTATGTCATGAATAACAAGTATTCTAGACAGCATAAGGCACGTCCTTTCGAAGTCATGTTTAATAGACAAGCTAATAAGTTTGTAGACTATCGTAATGTTACACCAGTATTGCATGATAGCGATTATATCAGTGCAGAATACATCCTCGAAAAGATGAAGGAAATCAATAGTATTGTGATTCCTGCTTTGAGGGGGGAAATGGCTGACCAACAGAAGAAAGATAATGAATATTTCATGAAGAAACATAGAATCAACCATGAATCATATCCTATTGGTACAGAAGTCATGATAAAGAATATGAATAAGAGTTCCAAGACTCAACCATATTATGAAGGGCCATTCACAGTTGCTAATATAGTCAGACCAGGACTATATGTATTAAAAGACACAACTGGTGAATTATATCCTAGAAATGTACCGACATCACATATTAAAAGAATTAATAGCGAAAAGGTATTAGGAGATGAAGAACATTTTGAAGTCTTAAGCATTATAGATCACAGAGGTGATAATGCATCCAATTATGAATATCTTGTCAGATGGAAAGATTATGGTGCGGAACATGACAGTTGGTTACCATCAGATAATCTTGATTCTAATGACGCAATTAAAACATATTGGAAAAGAAGAAATGTAGATCAAGCCCACATTGATCAGATTCAGTTAATTGGCAAGAACAAGCAAGATGTCGTTAAGCAACGTAAAACCAAGAGAAGGTCAAAGACATCCATAACTGAAAGAGATAACAAGAGATCCAAGAACTAGGTTCTGCTATCAGTGTATCTTTTCTCTTATTATGCAGTAAGAGTTTTTATTGACTCAGATAGTTAAGGTTCACAATTCATGCATTAGTATTTTTTTTATTTTTCTTTTTTTCTTTTTTCTTTTTTTTTTTCAAGTCTTATCAAGATCTCAAATCAAACCAAATCAAATTGCAAAGTGTCTACTCTAAACTCTAATGGTCTGTGCTCTATACGTATCTCTCGGAAAGTCCCTATTTACAAGATAGACAAGCCTTAACTTAATCCAATTGTTTCCATGTCTGGTCGGGGATAATGTTGTATCGCAGATGTATTGAATCATAGAAACAATAGAAATCCAATATTAGATCTCAGTAGACAGACTGGAGATCGTAATCATGAAAAGATTGTTATGAACGAATAAGAATACATGGATAAACATTTATTCAATTCAAATGGATAAACGATTGAATAGTAAATCCCGATTGGATCTACTATTAGTTTAGACACAGCTTCGTAAAAGTATAAATACGAGCTCATTCAACTCTTAATAAAAGGTTATCTTTACTTTGATTATTTCTTAAAGACCCATTTTGATATCTACGATATTTCATACATAATGGCAAACGCATGGCTGCTAAAAGTACAGTATTTATAGTCCAATTCCGTCAAAAATATTTTTTTTTCGTCACCGCCGGCAAACGAATTCGTCGCAAGCGTGGGCTCAATTTCGTCACGGCCATTGGTCAATTTCGTCACAGACACACGCCAATTTCGTCGTTTATTGTAATCAATTTCGTCAGGAACTTTCGAGAATTTGATGACTCTTAAAATACAATTTATAAATATGTAGGCTTGTAACCAAATGCCAAATTTTCTTTATTTCATCCATTTCCATTTTTTCCTCTTAATATATTAAATGTCTGACGAAGTAAATAACTTGCAACAGAACCAAACCAATCAGGGGGCCAGAAAAAGAAGGAAAGAATATCAGGCAATCAGTAATAACTTTAGAAAAGAAATAATAAAGTATTGGGATGACAATCGTGGTGTCAAAACAGCTACAGAGATGGCATCTCATTTGAGAATTTCCAGGACTACGTTTAACACGATTGTTAAAATTTATGAAAACACCGGGAGGACAGAGGCATTGCATAGGGGCGGCCGTCAACATGTAATAATTACGGATGAGCATCTTCAAAGTATCCAAAACATGGTAGACGTTAATCCATCGGTGACATTAGAAGAGATACAGGGCTGTCTCCAAAGACAATTCAATATGGAACGACCACACTCTATTTCTGGAATAGACTATGCTCTTAAAAATCGTATTCAGTACACCTTAAAAAAATTACACAAGTATCCCATACGACGCAATGATCCCGATATCAAAGATGCAAGATTTGAATTCTGTAATAAATTGATGGTGGAAGGAATAAGTTACAATCATAATTGTATCTTTGTTGATGAAAGTGGCTTCAATCTTTGGATTACAAGAGGAAAAGCTAGATCTAAGAAAGGATCCCCAGCATTTCAAGTCGTTAGTAGTCAACGCAAAAGAAATATCTCTCTAATTGCTGCAATGTCTGTTCATGGTGTAGAATGGTGCGCTACAAATAATACGGCCCATGGGACTAACGGAGAAGTGTTTGCCGAGTATATGAAACAATTATGTCAATACTTGGGTAGAAACGACGCGCCGGATCAAACAATTATCATGGATAACTGTGCAATTCATAAGTCACCAATTGTAAAGGATCTTTTGGCTCAGTTTCCTAGACATAAGGTTGTCTACTTGCCTGCTTGGAGTCCGTTCCTGAATCCCATTGAAGAGCTTTTTTCAAAATTGAAATACCACGTCAAAAGAGAATATCTGGATGATACAAGAACCCTCCTAGAAAAAATGGAAGAAGGCTTAAGGAATATTAGTGCTTCCGACTGCCAAGGCTGGGTATCTCACTCAATGTCCTATTTTCCTAGATGTCTTGCAAAGGAGGACATGCTATAGTTCTTTTTATTTTATTTTTCTTTCTTTGATTTAAAAATAAACTTTATTTGCCGAAAATGATTACAATAAACGACGAAATTGGCGTGTGTCTGTGACGAAATTGACCAATGGCCGTGACGAAATTGAGCCCACGCTTGCGACGAATTCGTTTGCAGGCGGTGACGAAAAAAAAAATGTTTTTGACGGAATTGGACTATAAATACTGTAATGTGCGTGACTTGCATATGATCACATGGGGGATAAAATATGTGACGATTAAATTTATTATAAAAACAAAAACCAACTGATGGTGGGGCTAATACTAATAGACTAAATAATAAAGGTAATGCATACCAATTGATGTTGTTGGTTAAACTTAGTAATAAATAAATAACCAGAAAATAAGAGAAAGAGGAATTAGTGGCTGTTCGGGCAATTGGGCAATATGTAGGGTTACTGCACGGAACTGAATTATTGGAATTCAGGTCTGAGTGGTAATTGTGTAATTTTCTAAAAATTCAGGTGACTACTCTTCAGGAGTTTGGGGGAAAACCCAAAGAAAGGAAAAAAAGTAGTGTAACAATATAAAAGATTGCATGATTGGCCTAAATACGATATACGAATGACAGTTGGATACAGAATGCTATACCACTGAGTTACGATATCACCGATCGAGATGAGAATCTTCTCAGATCAAATCAAGAATTATAAGAAAGAGAAACTTAATATTAATAGTTCTCTCAATGGATTAGCTACCCAAAGAGAGAATAGAACAGCTATTAATATAAATGGTGTGATGTTTTGAGATAATAAAATTAGATAAGAAACAGAAGAAAAAGAATTAAAGAAATGAGCCTCTGTTAATCCTTTATTAAAGTTATGGAGAGAAGGTCATCGCAAAAGGGAGGACGCTTTTTATATCAAAACATCTGGGAGATTGAATCTGGTAAAGAATAGGTAGTGGCTTGTTTCTATCTTCTGAAACATGGTAATTAGAATTACATGGTCTCAAGTCAATCAATATTTTATCATATTGATTGGCCCGAATTATTAAGTGAAAATTTCTCATTTGCTGATACTTCAATAACAGATTAAAGAGAGTCATAACAACCAATAATAATATAATTCCCAATATATAATCTGTAACAAGATTTTACTGCTAATATGAGAGTACCACTCGAATATTATAATTTAACCATATTGAAGGTCATTCTATACGATCTTTATTGGAGGAAATACGACATAGCCCCCTACCAGAATAGAATTACCCTTCAAAGATATAGACAAACTACTAAATAAACTTCAGCAGAAGAAAAAAATAAAAAAAATTTAAAATAAAAAAATTTATGCCGATCAGTGATCAACAAGAAAAAAAAATTTTGTGGTAGTTGCTTATTTAGGACTAGTCACTCCGCGTTTGGAACGGCGAACAGCATTGGAACTTGGGCGCACACGTTTGTGTTGTAACGAAGCATCATCTTTATGAGCACGTTTACGATACGAACGTTTACCATTTTTGTTTGAAGGAGGAGTAGATGGTACAGTATCAGCACTTTTATCGACATCATCGTCAGATAGAGTATCCAATACCGTAGAAATAGATCCAGGTGGATTCTTTTTCAGTACATCCAAAGCCGTGGGAGAATTTGTGATCACGTTAGACTTTTTGGGCTTATAAGGAATACCGATTTTTTTTCAGTATGTTCTTAAAGTGTCCGTAGCATTAAACTGATCTTGGTCAATCCATTCATCCCACTCGCTACTATAATTTTTCCAACGAACTAAATACTCACGCTTGGTGGGAGTACCTCGATGGATAAGAATAGCTTCGACTTCGTAGTTTTTAATTTCATTACCCTCATCATCTAACTCGATAACTTCTTCGTGAGAAATAAGTTTGAGTTCTCTTGATGTGTAATTACGGGGCACTAGTGCTCCTGCATGATCACGTAATATATACGAGTTGCCACGGTTTTTTCGTACAACTGTATAAGGACCAGTATCGGAAGGCGCTAATTGACCAGCATTAGTAGGTATTCTAATCATGACATGACTATCAGGAGGATATTCTACTAATTGATGCTTATTGTCAAATTTAGCTTTTTTAATTTCAATTTGGGCCATGGTTTTAGCTGTAATAGCAGGAAACACAATATCTGTCATGTAATCGATTCTTTTGATCAATTCTTCTTCAGACATAGGCTGGTCGTGCCAGAATATATGTGACTACTATTACGACCATATATAATATCCTTAAGCCATATTAATAAACTTTAGTCTTTTTATCTCTCTTAAAATATAAGCTAGTCACTTCTAGTTTTACATGGTGAGGCTCTCAAAACCTACTATTTCAACATAAATCAAAATTAAGCGTCGTACTTCGTCCTCAACTTTTGATTCATCTGTTCGTCGTTTCCACAAACGGAGGCGATTCACTTTATTTTCTCCAGTATCTGAACCAAGCTCATCTTGTTCAGAGACTTCAACAACTTCTTACTTCACCGCTCCAGAATCGTTCAACAGCATCATGTCTATAAACAATTCCGACAGTGCAACTACAACTCCAACAACATCATCCGACTTCGCTCGGTACGTCACTCTACAAACTCTTTCAGCAATTTCTTTTCCTCGATATGATTTAAAGCATAGCTTACGCTTTTGGATCAAGAATTTTAAGGAAGAAGTTCAATCAGCGGGGATCACAAATATGGATCATTGCTGCATACCCATAGCACGTTTCATGCCTACTATAATTCGAACTTTCATTACTTCCATCCCACCTACTATAAAAAATAAGTGGTCTACAGTCACAGCGGAACTTCTCTTACATTTCGGAAGTGAGAAATTCGAGAGTGATAATAGCGAATTTAAGAATAAAATGTGAAATTTAACAAAGTGAAATTATCAAACTGCAAAAATAAACTAAAGCTTTATTAAACAAATAAATGGGGGTCTTTATATACACATTATTTCAGACATTGATCACAGATGGGCTGATGACGGTTGTTGGTAGATTTATCCAGATAATATTCGGATGTAATGATCCCATATAGAAAGACCATAATGAGATGTCAATAACAATAACAATAACATTCATTCTTAAACCGTGTATGTCTTGTAGCACAACATTCAGGGGAAAATGTAGTTCTTATTAAAGATAGCTGTGGCACCTCAACGTGGCTGATGTAACCTTCATATGTTTTCATATTCCTGTTATTATTTAAATGTATGCCTTATACTTGTATGAAGGATGATATGAGATCAAGCCTGTACATAAAGTAAATGATCAGTATTTAATATAAAGTACCAGTAAGAATTGTATTTAGGATTTACAAATGGAAGATTTAAGAAGTGTAGATAGAGTCATATATTAAGTATATAGCCTCGATCACGACAGGAAGGCCCGAAGAGGAAGAAAATCGCGAGTTACTCACTAAGCTCAGAAAATGTAAACAGCAAAAAGGGGAATCGGTAAAGCTGTACAGTGCTCATTGGAAACATCTGTTAAGTTTGCTGCCAGCGAATCACTTGGAAGAATGTCAACAAATTCTATTGTTCACGCAAGGAATTCTTAACGATGGATTACGTACATATCTCATTACGTATTCGGATGTGAAGGAATTGGACACAATGAAGGCAGTCATTGAAAAGGCTATCAATTTAGAAACAAAGGCCCGACTCAATGACCCCAATAACGTTCACCAAACAAAACAAATAACAAATGACACAGCTGAACCAATGGAAGTAGACTTTATTCGTAAGGAACCAACGAAAAACAAGTTTCACAAAACAAAGTTTGCAATTAAGCCATCAACTGGAAAATCAGACGACTCGCGACGTAGTGGCCACTCTGATAAATCTAAGCAGGTACCTCGGTTATATGACAAACAGGGTAATCCGGTTTGCGGCTACTGCTTTGAAAATCACCGTAACATAGATTGTTCTAAAAATAAGCCAACGCCTCGCAAGGAAGTCCAAGCAACAGAAAATGCATCATCTGATCACAACAGTAACGTTTCATTGGTGGATTTGACGGCACCCGCTGTCATGATTGATTCAATAAAGGCGGCCTATGTGGGTAATATAAACAATAACACAAACCCGTTGCCAGTCTCTGTGTTTGAGTTAACTCCTGAAGTGTCGGTCAAGGTCATGTGGGATACTGGGTCTATTTTAACTATCTTACATACCAGCGTGGCGAAACGCCGTGGTTTCAAGGTCGATAGGTCAAGAACGGTAAATTACAGCGATGTCAACCAAAATGTAAAAAGTACTCAAGGCATATGCAAGCTTAGACTGTTCGGTGAGGTGGTAGAATTTCATGTCGTTGATGACATATCTCGTCCTGCAATTATCGGTTGGGATATTATGTTAAAGTGGAAGGCTACCATAGATTTAGAAGCAAGAAAAATCTACATCACGGCTAAGGGTTAAAAATTTGGTATAACATTCTTTACTGACGAAAAATCTCCTATTTCCAATGTAAACAATACAGAAGCTGTTCGCCCAGCGATGTCCTCAATATTGTCCAAATTTAACCATGTTATCGCAAAAGATAATAACAAGCCCACGGTCACATCACTGGTCAAATTCTCTATCGATACAGGTGACCATCCTCCAAGTTACCAACCTCCAAGGCGATACCATCCAGATATACAAGCCCAAATTGATAGTAAACTGGAACAACTATGTGAAAATGGTATTACTGTGATGTTTGAGATATTAAAAAATAGATAAAACAGAATAAAAAGAAGTAATAAGAAATGAGTCTCTATTAATCCTTTATTAAAGTTATCGAGAGAAAGTCATCGCAAAAGGGAGGACGCTTTTTATATCAAACATCTGGGGATTGAATCTGGTACGGAATAGGCCGTGGCTTGTTTCTATCTTCTGAAACATGGCAATTCGAGTTACAAGGTCTTAAGTCAATCAATAATTTCTTATATTGATTGGCCCAAATTATTAAGTGAAAAATTCTCATTAGCTGACACTTCAGTAACAGAATAATGAGAATCAAAAACAACCAATAATAATATAATTTCCCAATATATAATCTGTAACAAGATTATACTGGTAATATGAGAGTACCACTCGAATATTATAATTTAACCACATTGAAGGTCATTCTATACGATATTTATTGGAGGAAATACGACATTGCCCCCTACCAGAATAGAATTACCCTTCAAAGATGTAGACAGACCACTGAATAAACTTCAACAGATCAAAAAAAGAAAAAAAAATATTTCAAAAATATAAAAAAATTCATGCCGATCAGTGATCAACAAGACAAAAAAATTGGGGTTGTTGCTTATTTAGGACTAGTAACTCCGCGTTTGGAACGACGGACAGCACTGGAACTTGGGCGCACACGTTTATGTTGTAACGAAGCATCATATTTGTGAGCACGTTTACGATAAGAACGTTTACCATTTTTACTTGAAGGAGGAGTAGATGGTGCAATAACAGTACTTTTCTCGACGTCATTGTCAGATAGAGTATCCAATACCGTAGAAATAGATCCCGGTGGATTCTTTTCAGTACATCCAAAGCCGTGGGAAAATTTGTGATCACGTTAGACTTTTTGGGCTTATAAGGAATACCGATTTTTTTCCAGTATGTTCTTAAAGTGTCCGTAGCATTAAACTGATCTTGGTCAATCCATTCATCCCACTCACTACTATAATTTTTCCAACGAACTAAATACTCACGCTTGGTGGGAGTACCTCGATGGTTAAGAATAGCTTCAACTTCGTAACTTTTAATTTCATTACCTTCATCATCTAACTCAATAACTTCTTCGTGTGAAATAAGTTTAAGTTCTCTCGATGTGTAATTACGAGGCACTAATGCTCCGGTATGATCACGTAATATATACGAGTTGCCACGGTTTTTTCGTACAACTGTATAAGGACCAGTATCGGAAGGCGCTAATTGACCAGCTTTAGTAGGTATTCTAATCATGACGTGACTGTCAGGAGGATATTCTACTAATTGATGCTTATTGTCAAATTTAGCTTTTTCGATTTCAATTTGGGCCATGGTTTTAGCTGTAAGAGCAGGAAAGATGATATCTGTCATGTAATCGATTCTTTTGATCAATTCCTCTTCAGACATAGGCTTACGTTGTTTAGGGGATACAGAAAGAGTTTTACGGAATCCGTATGGCTCGATCATTTTTCTCGCAAACATGAGAGAAAAGGGCGTAGAGTTTAATCTCTTCGAAATACGATTATTTAAAGCTAACTGAACAGCATTTAAATGTAAATCCCAATCATTACCGACACCTCGCGTTGCTTTAGCAAGTAGTCTTTTAACTGATTGAACGTAACGTTCACTGATACCATTTGCACTTGCATGCAGTGGCGTAATGAATCTATGATCAAAACCCATGGCGTCAGCGAGATCTTTCGCAAGACAATGTTTAAACTCCGCTCCGTTGTCTGTTTGTAACACAAGCGGGAATCCAATTATGGAAAACACCTCAACAAGCGAACGCAGAACAGTGGAATTTTTCTTATCAGGAAGGGCACGTAAAATGCAAAATCTAGTGGTTACGCACACAATTACCATAAAATAATTATTACCAGTAATTGAGGTTGTATTTAATGGACCACCTAAATCAAGTGCATAATGATCACCAGGGAGACAACTATAAATAGGTCTCAAAGGATGATACCCACGTTTTTGTATGTTATGCTTTTGGCATTCCTTACATTTACGTACAAATTCAATACAAGCATCGATTAAATGTGGCCAATGGATCCCTTCACTATGAATTCGTTTTACCATTTGCTCAGCACCATAATGTCCTACTTTATTATGTGCATCATCTAAAAGATCTTGACGTTCTTCTTCAGGAGCGATTAAGTAATCTGCATGGATACTTTGCCACTTTGAACGTAAAATACTTGCTTAACAGCAGAATAATTCGTGTGATCTATGTCATGTTCGTCTATCTCAGCAGTAACATTATTAACATACACACTATTGTGTTCCTCGATGGGAACGGGATCGTCACAACAATGATTCTCATCCTTGTTATCTGACGTCGATGAACTAACTTCACGAAACGAAGCACAATTACAAGCCACTGATTCATTTTTTCTGATACCGTTGCTAAACTTTATATTATTCACATGAAGATTTTTCTTAGAAAGATTGATCTGGTTTGAATGTATATGATTACGACCACGAGACATGATACGTAACTGTTTCGATTTAGGAAGGGAACCTTCACCGTCGTCTTCCTTTGGCGGATAGAGACGGGATAAAGCATCAGGCAAAATATTATCAACACCTTTTAAGTATATGTTGTATACACAAATATCCCGAAGTGTATACAAGCACTATTCTGTGAGTTACTTTAGCGAAGAAACTCGAAATAGCTATTTTGTGTCACCTCACGTACACGCGGTTTACACGCAACATCTGCATTAACAAAGGATAAAAACAACTTATAAATAATACCACAGCTTACAATGCACGCATGGTCCACACATGCTTACTGCAATATGTTCACATTATAAATCATTCTCTCAGCGTGCTCTATTAATTGACAAGTACCGAAAGACTTTGTCAATTCCTATATAAACCATCCTCTTATTCAATAATATAACGATATTCAATTTACCCAGTCTCACAATTACCTTTTTCTTTATCTTATAAACTGTCTATCTTGTTTGATAGAACAGTATACAACTTTAAAGTCATAATCCAATATGGTATCAAACCATTTAATCATCATGGAATTAGAATGCTTTTGAGTGTGAAGGTATGAAAGAGCTTTGTGATCACTAAATAAGGTGAAGTGTGTACCCCATACAAATTTATGGAATTGCTTTAATGCAAAGATACAACTTAAAAGTTCACGCATCGTACAAGAATAACGTTGTTCTGACCCAGACAGCTTACGAGAAAAGAATCCAATATGTTTTATGATAGTTTTTTCATTACCATCAGCAGTGGTGGTTGAGAAATTCGAGAGTGATAATAGCGAATTAAGAATAAAATGTAAAATTTAACAAAGTGAAATTATCAAACTGCAAAAATAAACTAAAGCTTTATTAAACAAATAAAAGGGGGTCTTTATATACACATTATTTCAGACATTGATCACAGATGGGCTGATGACGGTTGTGGGTAGATTTATCCAGATAATACTCGGATGTAATGATCCCA